ACCTCCTGCTCAAAGCAGGGTCAGCTATGCTGTCCCGGACGTTTGGGGCGCAGGAGATGCTGCATGTAGATGTATGGGACAGAACCTGGTCCTACGGTGCTGGTGTGCAAGGCAGGGTTGGGTTTTCCAGTACGTTGATAGTCTGGGCTCCAGTTTCACTGGTTGTTGTGAAAACTGATTTCGCTGAAGGTGAGAAGAAAAATTTGCTCTGGCCACAGATCCGTGATGCAGCCCCAGTCTCACTGGATGAGGATGATGGAGGGTATGGTCTCCTCGCCGTAAAATGGCTTGGATGTCCCATCCAGGCTTTGAGGTTGTGACCAAAAGCACGTTCCTCGGCAGCCGAACTGAGCAAACAGCCTGAACTTAGAGGTTTGGGGTCAGGACTGAGCACAGGCTGAACCTGAGCAGACGCCAGCAGGGTCTCCTCCATCATTTAGAGCTCTTTTTCCACTGGTTTGGTCCTTTGCCCAAACCTTTTCCAATCTATGCCATAAATTCCACCCCGGTTCTTGGAGAAAGCAACCGGTTCTGACTGCCCCGCTCTCTCAGAAATCAGGGGTTATGAATTCCCAGAGCCAGGTTATCATGTTATTAAGCAAGGAAGAATCTGAGTTTGTAGGAGATAAACCTGGATAGGTGGGATGAGGGTGCAGAGGGTGGACCAGCTGGAGGAAGGGAATGCACCAACAAGGTGTTTCTTCTCCGCTCAGGAGAAATTCCAGGCTCACGTGCAGATCCTGAAGGAAAGGAGAGAAAAGCTGCTGGGGCTGAAAATGGCCGAGGATAAAAAAAGCCTGGACTTCCTTGTAAGTGTCTGTCCCTGGGTGGTGATGGCTTTCCCTTTTTCCTTTCGATTGTCCCTCTGGCCATGGTGATGGATGTGGGGACAGGAGACGTGCCGCATCTCACCTCTCCCTTGTGTGTGTCGGTTCTCCTTGCAGGAACAAGTGGAAACGGAGCGGCAAAAGGTTGTGTCTGAAGTCCAGGAGCTGCACCGGTTCGTGGAGGGACAGGAACGTCTCCTCTTGGACCGGTTGGCAAAGCTGGACCAGGAGATCATGAGGAGACAGGAGGAGAACATCAACAGGCTCTTGGAGGAGATGTCTTCCATCGGTGAGCAGATCCGTGAACTGGAGGAGAAGTGTCAGCAGCCGGTGTGTGAATTCCTGCAGGTGAGACCTCTGAAGGTCATTGGCCTTGTCACCAGCCCAGGATGGATATAATGCTAAATAGTCCTTTTAAAATGTATCTTTCAAAGCTTTTCCTTTTTTTTTTTTTAAAAAAAATTATTTTCTTCAATGATCACAAACACGGCCCAACCGCCCACTTGAGTATTTTAAATCAACCACAACCTGTTTAAATCACTGCCTATTTACATGGGTATGGGATTCATCCATCTGGTTGTACACATCTATGTCCAAAACAATTCTCCGAGCGCCTTCGTACGCGGTGGAGAAACCACAGGCACTCACATCATCTTTAGGTAGTCATCAAAACCATCATCTGAGCCAGGTGATGGGTTAACTCCTGATTTAAAACATTCAGATATGCTGAAGCAGTGGTGTGCATTAGCAGCAATAACGCCCGTCTTGGAGGAGTAGGGACGTGAAAGGTGTTGGGTGATGGCAGGTAACGAGCTGCTCATCAAGTGATGTCGCCGTGGCCTCACCTAACTCCCCAGCTGATCTGCAAACACTGTGCAGGCAGGCCAGTATCAAGGGGTTCATTTTAGACCCATAATTTAGACAAAGCAAAGTCTTTGGTTGGCCAAGACGCCCCACAGCCCTGCGGTAGCTGCCTGTTCTTTACTCTCAGGCTGACTTTGCTCTGACCTAACGCTCCTTCTCTCCTCTCTCCCTTGTAGGACAGCAGAAACATCTTGAGCAGGTTTGCAGCTCCTTTCACATATTCTTGTGATGGTAATGTTGTTTATCTCTACGATGGTGACACTAATGGACTCTGAAAGCCCAGCCACTTACGGTCCCCGTATGCTAGGTACCGTATAGACACATAGGGGACAACTAGGGCACCGCAAAAGGTCCAAGTAGGATGCTGAAGACCAGGGAAAGGTATCAGATGGAATGATGGTACCTCCAGCTCTGCTGCAGCTTCTTCTTTATAGTCCACCCAAAACTGCCTATTCCTGGAGGGTTGAGCTTTCACTCCCTGCCCTTGTCAGCCCATCACAAACAACAAACCAGCAGCTAAAAATACGCGGCCGTTTAAACACTAAGGAGTGCATCCAGGTGGGAGGGAATCCAGTGTGAACTTCCACCCTTGTAACAGACCTCTTCGTGTCCTCTTTGGACATGGATCGAGAAGGTGGGTTGTTGGAAAGACAAAAGTGGGCAAGGAAAGACTTTTTTTTTTTTTTTTTTTTTTTTTTTTTTTTTAATTGCCTGCGTTTCCCTTGATGCAGAGCGCTGCTGGTCATGGCAGAAAGCCTTTACCATCCAGGGACACTTCACTGGTGTTCAGGAACAAAATAGCCACACACTTTGGGTCAGCAAGCCCTTGTGTGGGAGCTCATTGATGCCCTAGGACCAAGCCTTTGCTCTAGGCCTACTATTACTTTGTAAGAAATCCCAGCTGAAAATCGGTCAGTGCATAATGACAATTATGAGACAAGGAAGTATTATTAGAAAGGTCTTCCTTCTTTCTAGGTTCGAGAAGGACGTTGCCCAGAAACCAGCAGAGACATCGTCTGAGCTGGAAGAGAAACCCACCGGTCTTCTTCAGAAAAATATTGCCCTCAAAGAGATGCTGATGAAATTTCAAGGTACAGAGGAGGAGGAGGAGAGGGTTGGAGGTCGTGCTAGGTTTGTTTGCGGAAGATCTAAGGGACGAGAATTCTTGGTGAAACACCGTGGGGAGATACTTCCAACGGAGATGTAGCCATATTAGCACAGCAAGAAGCGATCAGTCTGGTCGATGAGGTGAGGGAAGGCAAGTTTGCCTCCCGGCAGATCTCGGGGAGCATGGTCAGCGTTGGGGTCCTGTGGGACCTCGCGTAGGGTCGGTGTCACCTTGGGAAATCACCTCTCTGAATGGGACCAAAGGTGAAAATTGCAAATATTTCCACAGTGGAACTTAAAAAAGGAAAGACATGGGACACCTGAGGATTTCTTTCCTCTTTGCAATGGCCTGGAGACTCCCAGCAAAACTATCCACACTTTAAGCCTTATTTTTACTCTAAATCAAGTTCCCTCCGTGCAGCTGCCTTTTCTGCTCTTCCAGTCTTGCTCGTGGGCACAAAACCCATCCCTGCTCTGCTCCAGCAAACTGGGACTGGGAGCTGGAGCATCCCAAGGTCAAGGTGGGGGAAAGGTGACCCTAATGCCTCTGAGGACTGAGCTGTATCTGTGATGCTCATCTTCTCTTTGTCCCCAGTCAGTTTGACGCTGGATCCAGAGACAGCGCATCCCCGGCTCGTCCTGTCCGAGGACTACAAACGCGTGAGATGGGAAGACACTCGCCAGCCCGTACCCGATAACCCCAAACGTTTTGACTCGTCTCGTTGTGTCTTGGGCTGCGAAGGTTTCAGCGCGGGGAGGCATTACTGGGAGGTGGAGGTGGGCGACGGGGAAGCTTGGGCTGTTGGGGTGGCCAAGGAATCGGTGAGGAGGAAGGGACGGATCAGCGTCAACCCCAAGGTGGGGATTTGGGCGGTGGGGCAGTGCGGGAGCCAGTACCAGGCTCTCACCTTTCCGACCATCCCCATCTCCCTGCTCGCTGCTCCCAAGGTGATTGGGGTTTACCTGGACTATGAGGCGGGGCGAGTGGCGTTTTTTGACTCCAATAACGAGGCACCCATCTTTACCTACCCCCCAACATCCTTTGCGGGGGAGAAAATCCTCCCCTTGCTCTGCCTGGGGAGGGGGTGCCAGTTCACACTCTCCCCCTGACCCCCCCCTCCCTTCATGGGACAGCATCTGCCTGACTCTTGCTCGCGGGGGTCTGGGGAGATGGCGGGGGGTTAATCACCACCGAGATGGCTTGTGGGAGCA